ATACATTTAAATTCCAAAATGTAACCTGTTCAGCCTGTATAATGTTGAATTGGGCTCTAGAAATAAAGATTATCCAACCTTTAACAGGTTCTTTGGAGATTTGATGGCAAAACACCAGACACCTTAGGACCCAATACAAGAATCTTCAAATGGCTCCCCCAGAATGACCTTCTAGGTAAGACTCTGGAAAGCAATCCTATCCTAGTTGACTTCAAAACCCTTTATATTACATTTAGTGAATATATTATTTATTTAAGATAACAATATCTGACATGCACTTGGTCTTTTTTTAACACTCAATTTTCCTTATCTACCATGTAATCCAGGTGTTCAACTGGAAATCAGTATTTCATAGTTTAAGTCTCAATTCACAAGTAAATTTGCAAGATATCTGTCAGTACATTTAGTTTACTCTGGCTCTGAATAGGAAAACATTAATACTGAGATTATGAGTATAAGAATCTTCTTTAGATTTTCTTGTGATGAGAAGGGAAGGTAAACTGCAGTCATGATGTAAACTAAATTAATAAATCCAATTATTAAAAAAAATCTTCATGTAGAAAAATATCCTTTCAATTCCTCATAGTACACATTTCTCACTTCATGTCTAATACTACTATGAGGCCTCTGGTAGTTGATCAGTATCCCTAGTATACGAATGGGCTTTGGGAGCCCATTCCACATAGAGGGATACTCTCTCAGCCTAGACTCACAAGGGAGGGCTTAGGCCCTGCTCCAACTGATATGACAGATTTTGAAGATATACCCATGGAAGGCCTAACCCTCCTTGGGGAAAAGAAAGAGAATGGGATAGGGGGTCGGTGAGGGGCAGGGGAGGAGAGCAGGGAGAGGGAACTGGGATTGACATGTAAAACAAGCTTTTTTATAATTTAAAGAAAATATAAAGGTTAAAAAAAGAGACTGCTAATTAATGCTAATCTGAATTCCTCTTATTCAAGGTCATCCAAAAACCAAAGCCTTTGTAACTCATGGTGGAGCTAATGGCATCTATGAGGCAATTCATTTTGGAATCCCTATGATTGGCATTCCTTTGTTTGGAGAACAACATGATAACATTGCCTACATGGTGGCCAAAGGAGCAGCTGTTGCATTAAATTTCAGAACAATAACAAGGTCCGATTTGCTCAATGCACTGGAGGCAGTCATAGAGAATCCTACGTGAGTATAATCTTTTAAAAATGTGTATTCATTATTTATTTATTCATTATTCGTTGTGCTTTTTACTGAAGGCCAAAAGGGCAAGAATTATCCTAAAGGCAAAAATGATACAGAGACAATTTAGGACATGATTCTGTGTCATAGGTTTTTCTCTCTTTTGTTATTGTTTTTTATTTGCATGTTACACTTTATGTTTCTTTCTTATGTAAATCAGACACATCCTAAATATGTAACTACTTCATCCTCCAAACTGCTTGGCCAACAGACATATGTCAACAGCTTTTGCCAATTTTTCTTTTCAATTCTTTTAGTGAAGTAACTGATCAGAGATTTAAGGTTAATACAAAACTTTGTATTCATAAGTGAAGTAAAATAAAATGTTATATGTGGTACCAGATGTATTACATGTAGAAGCTTTAGGAAAACATTACAACAGAGAAACTTGAATGTTATAAAAGAGATATGTAACTTTTATAGGAGTTGTAATATTCTGCATTGAAATAACATAGATACTAATATAAAACGAAGTGTTTGAATAAATGTTTATATATGCAGTCTGTTTTAGGACAAATTCATATAGTGAAAACCTATTAGAATGAAGGAAAAATGGATATGCCCATCATTATTTTTCTTTGATTTAAAAAAATCCATGTGGAAGCTGTTTTGTAGAAAAGACTATTTCTCTCCTACTCTCAGCATTACTTAAGTTCCTGTAATAATTTTGTATAGAGTTCTGACCAGTGTGAGATTGATCTCTTTCCATGTTAGCATGGCTATTGCTGTCATCCTTTTTCAGATCTTGTTTAGGGAACTATGTTGTTGAGAATATGTTGTCGCCATTATTAAGATCTTGTTTAGATATCTATATTGCTGACATTTCACCATTAGAGCTTATCAAAGATGCAAATTCACAGCAAATATGTTGACCCTCTCTGGCTTTTAAAAATCTTTCAATCCTCTCTTCTGTGATGTTCTATGAAGGTTATTTTTCTAGTAAGGGGTTTTCAAATGAGTTCCAGCTCAAAGGTCCCTAGGTTCTGTTTCTTAATTGCATTCTCTTTCAGCAATAGAAAGTTACCTTCTATCTCTGGAGAATAAGCAGCATCAATAGGCTATGCATTTTGGGAATCTGTTTGACAGCCATGGCCAACATCTTAAAAGAGGGTTTCTCATGTCTTGTGTTGGGGTTTATGTTAGGTCATCTTTGTCTTTTAGATGGAGCACCATCAGTCCAGATGAGAAAAGATAATTAACTATATATGTATATTTATATGTGGAATTGCATGTGTTATGGGAGATTTGGATAAATTGTTAATATTACAATATTTATGGCTTTTTCTGACATCCATATTGTTACTTTATTATTTTCTGTCCTTTGCTATTAACCTCCTCTCCCTTCCCTATGGAGCCTTCCCTCTTCCCATTTCCCCATCAGATACGTTTCATGCCAAATTTTAAGAAAATGTAATATGCATACTAAGAGATGGAGATTATTTAATGAGAAGAAATATCTCTCATTTTGCTTTTAAATAGTAAGACAGTAAATTACCATTATTACAATTGCTACTTTTTTTGTTTTTTTCGAGACAGGGTATCTCTGTGTAGCTTTAGAGCCTATCCTGGCACTCGCTCTGGAGACCCGGCTGGCCTCCAACTCACAGAGATCTGCCTGCCTCTGCCTCCTAAGTGCTGGGATTAAAGGCGTGCACCACAAATGCCTGGCTACAATTGCTACTTCTGCTCCATCAAACTGACATTAGGCTTGATGACTCATTTCTCTATGGTCCTCCTCTTCTTTATATACTCATCAATAATTATTTCAGTATTAGAATCAAAGGAAACTACAATACTCAGTGTGGAATTTTTACAGCTCTCACTTCTAAAATAACAATGATATCAAAAAGTGAATATCAACAATCACAGCAAAACTTAAGCTTGAAAGATGGCTCAGTGGGTAAGTTAAAGTCTACTCTAGCAGAGGACAACAACCATGTCAAGTGATTACCAACATCTGTAACTCTAACTCCAGCAAATCTCATTATACAGACAGACAGACAGACAGACAGACAGACAGACAGACAGACAGACACACACACACACACACACACACACACATATAGCCAAATTTTATTGCGAATCTACTTTACAAATTCCCAGTACAGTCATAGAGAAGAAAGTTACATTTCCTATCAATTTCATTGACTAGGTGATAACTTACATGAAAATGTATGAAAGCAATGGGAAACAGCTATTATAGCTAATTAACAAGAACCAGGACAGTTTTGTAATTATAACCACTACTCATTGATAGCATTCTTTAGAAATATCATTTCAATGTTTATAAGCTTTACACAGATATGTATCACAATGGAGACTAGAGAGGGATTTTCTTTCTACTTATACATCCTGACACTAGTATATGCTTTGACAACAAAGTTTATTAATAATTGCTTATGGGTAAATGAAGTTTTATCTACTCAAATAATATCTCATTTTGATATTTTGTATTTAGGATTAGCTGTCTCCAAATTCTACTTTAGGAATTTTTGGTCTTCTCATTTTTCTTTTTAGATGCTTATTCTTTTTTTAGAGAATACTTTATTAGTTTTTGTAATCAAACCCACATAGATAAGACGAACATATTTAATACAGTGCATTACCCCTGTTCAAATGGAAAAAATTAAGTTCAACATTTCTAGACCAATACGGCTGTTAATTTCTGTACAATGCCAACTCAACATGGTAAACTGGGATACTTTTTTCCAAAGTTGACAGCACAGCTAAAGTTTCCAAAAATTCAAATTATATATTACCAATATATATATTATATATATATACCAATAATAATAGCAGTATGTTCTGCATCAATAGCAGCAACAGCTTTCCAGGTTCTGCAGTCATTTGAACAAAATTGTAGACACATCCAGCACACTCCATTTAAAAAAAAAAAAAAAACAAAAAATGTAAAAAACAAAATCCCAGAAAACAGCACAGTTCTGTTACTCTTGTGGTACTTGCCACCATTTTTTTTAAATTAGCATCTCAGTCATCATCTGGAAGGAAACCATTCTGAGCAACATCATTAAAAACAGCTCTGATAAAGCACAGTCACTACTATGTATTATAAAGCAGGTCCACATATGAGTGAGTACATTATTCTTGCATGCTATAGGAGCTCAGATATACCTCTGAAGATCTTCATATTCATGAACATAAAATATAATTCATTTTCCTCATATGTTTGTGTAATTTTCTTTACTATCTACACAAGAAAATTACACATGTGCATATTTATTCATTATATAAGCTGATATCCCATTTTACTTCTTTCAGCTATAAAGAGAATGCAATGTGGTTATCAACCATTCACAATGACCAGCCCATGAAGCCTCTGGACAGAGCCGTCTTCTGGATTGAGTTTGTCATGAGACACAAAGGGGCCAAGCACCTGAGGCCACTTGCATACAACCTCACCTGGTACCAGTACTACTCTCTGGATGTGATTGGATTCCTACTGGCCTGGGTGGCAGTCATAACTTTTCTTGTCATAAAATCCTGCTTATTCATTTATCAAAAGTTTGTAAAGACAGGAAAGAAAATGAAGAATGAGTAGAGCTCTTTGACAATGTACTACATGAACTAAATTTCAGCATCATTTTAATTAATGATCTGCCTTCTAAATATTCACTGATTACTTGATCAAGGAACACCTTCCTTGGATAGAGGAAAGGGAAGAGAGATAATGGAATTATATTATAATCCCAAATAAAAAACATGATAGAAAGAAAAGGGATGAGCAAACTGTAAGGAATAATCTAGTAAACAGAGTTCCTCCACAGTATCTGCCTCAGGGCTGTCTCCTGATTCCTGCCTTTAACTCCTCACCTACTTTTCCTCAGTGAAGTGCAGAGAGCCATGATGTAAAATAAACCCTCACCTTCATCAATTAACAGTGAAAATTTTTGAAAAACTCAAACAAAGGAGGGCCCTGGACCTGGGTAGGGCAGGCACCACCATGATGAGCAAATATGTGGTGGAGAAATTAAGAGTAAAAGCAAAAGGTAAAATCAAAGCAAGTCACAAAGTCCATTACAGTACAGAAGTACAGATCATATGTTAGAAAATCGTAAGATAGTGTGTCATAAAACCACAATCTGAGGCCATTATAAAGAAGTTAAGTACATTATAAATGATGAAAGTGTTTTGCTTTAACATTGGACATTACATTTTAACATAGATTTTGAAACTAAACAAAGTATTAGGCTGCTATGTCAAGAGCTAACTTCTTGACATATGCCAGGACTGGTTTCCTTTTTTTACATAAGGTTATCCATATGTAAATTTTGTGATTTCTGAGAGTTTATATCATGTCATCTCTCTTTAGATTACTGTCCTAGTAGTATAATAAGATTTAATACCTGCAGCATAACTCCACTATTTATTGCTTTGTGTTTTTCATTAGAGCTCACCATTCTGAGAGGTCAAGTGGAATTACTAGCTTCCTGCATGATTATGAGAAGTTGGCCTTAGGATATGATGAATCCATTGCTTCTGTTCTATGCTCTTATGTATATGCAAAGTCTCTGTCTGGTAATTCACTCAACTGAGCTGAAAATTGAACACTAGTTAGCCTTATTTCAGATAAATTTCTCCTTCCCTCTCCCCCTCCCTTTTCCCTCCCTCTCCCCATCCCTCCTCTTTCCTTCCTCCACCTCTCTCACTCCTGTTGCACATGCATGTAAATCACAAAGTATAAACTCAAGGGGTTCTTTTCTTTTGGTGTTTAGAGGTGCACTGTTGACTATTCAGTATTCATGAACACTCTCCCTCCACTTAGTGACTTCTAACAAGATCTTGACAATCTGTATTCCCTGGAAGCTAAATTTAAGCTAGCTAAATGGAAGGGCTGCTTTGTTCCCATTCTAGTATTAGATATACTCACTCACTTATTTGCCTGATGTATTATGATTCAGTTTCCAACTTCTTGACTTATGCCAGGACTGGTTTCCTTTTTTTACATAAGGTAATCCATATGTAAATTTTGTGATTTCTGAGAGTTTATATCATGTCATCTCTATTACTAGTGTAAATAAATGGTTAAGACTGCTGCCCTCTTTGAGTTAAGAGAAAATTCTACAAACTTATTCATTATTAAAATGAGGAATTTAATTTTAAAATAGTGCCTCTTTTTCTTTAAATATATATATATTGTTCTTTAAACATATATATATATATATATATATGTATATATATTGTTTTCTTTATATGTCTTCCTGTATGTCTTTCTTTCTTTACACCAAATAAAATATGACCCAAAATTCCCAGTCTACTCCTGTTGCACATGCATGTAAATCACAAAGTATAAACTCAAGGGGTTCTTTTCTTTTGGTGTTTAGAGGTGCACTGTTGACTATTCAGTATTCATGAACACTCTCCCTCCACTTAGTGACTTCTAACAAGATCTTGACAATCTGTATTCCCTGGAAGCTAAATTTAAGCTAGCTAAATGGAAGGGCTGCTTTGTTCCCATTCTAGTATTAGATATACTCACTCACTTATTTGCCTGATGTATTATGATTCAGTTTCCAACTTCTTGACTTATGCCAGGACTGGTTTCCTTTTTTTACATAAGGTAATCCATATGTAAATTTTGTGATTTCTGAGAGTTTATATCATGTCATCTCTATTACTAGTGTAAATAAATGGTTAAGACTGCTGCCCTCTTTGAGTTAAGAGAAAATTCTACAAACTTATTCATTATTAAAATGAGGAATTTAATTTTAAAATAGTG